GAAGAACCAACCTTCGACATTTTGGAATCGGAGACCTAGTCCTTCGGAAGGTCACCCTCAATACTCGAGACCCAAATGAAGGGAAACTTGGCCCGAATTAGGAAGGACCCTACCGAGTCTTCGGAGTTGCCGGTAAAGGATCTTACAAACTCAGCACAATGGAAAGTCAACAACTGCCAAACAATTGGAACATATCCTTGCTCAAACGGTACTACTGCTAAGGTATGACTTTATCCTTTTGTCCATTTGAATTTAGAGCTAACTCATTACAGGCTATCAATCGAGGGCATACGATCTCGAAGGCATCTTATTTCTACACGAAAACACTTCACGCCTAAGAGGGCCTCGATAGGAAAACTTTGTAATGGGCCAAACGGTCAGATGAACTGTGTCCATATAAAATAGTCAAGCCCCGACGGCAAAGAATGTACGTATGTATCAATTATTTGAAGAAGCATTTTGTCAATGTCAAAAACAATTTGTTTACTATTACACGAACTCTACACTTATAATACCACGGGAAATGGCTCAAGAGCCAAAGCATAAGAACACCCCCGAATACTCGGGGACTGTCTTCGACAGTCAATGCATCCGAGTCACCAAAAACTCGGACTCATAGGACCTCAATGAGGCATCCCCCTGAAACAAAGGCCAAGGCCAATATACTCGGGGACTAACTTTTTGAACAAGTTCTAAAAGTTATCAGGGAACAAGTCCAAGAGACACAACCGAAAGCTACGGCCATATTAAAGATTACGGTCATATAAAAGGCTACGGCCGAAATAACGCGGCTCGGAGACGTCCGACTTCCGCCATAAATTAAAGTCCTTGAAACATCTTGTAAAAACCGGTTAAATCAGGCTACCCTAAAGCAAAATATAAAGGGCTTCGATAAATTCAGCCCCCGAAAATTTCAGGGCTTCGATAAGTTCAGCCCCTGAAAAATCTAAGGGCCTCGATAAATTCAGCCCTCGAATAATCCAAGGGTTTCGATAACATCGGCCTTCGAAAATACCTTAAGAGGTATTCGAGTATGTTTACACAAACAAATTACTAATAAGGTTCTAAAATGTCGAACCGTCGAAAAAACCTACGGGTACAAAAAATACATGCTAAGGCATAATTAAATTCTCACTAAGTCTTTTAATCCGAAATGAGGGAAAAATTATATAGCCATTCTCAGAGGCCGAATCGGCCCAATTTAAAGAGCCTAAGGGCCAACATATAAGAGTCCAAGGGCCGAATTAAAGAGCCTAAGGGCCAACTTAAAGAGCCTAAGGGCCAACATAAGAGAGCTTAAGGGCCAAACCATTTGGAGTTCAAGACCTCGCTCTCACTCAACTCCGGCTCACAAGTCCCATTATTCCGAGCTCTTATCGAACTGATTTATTATGTTCTGAATCTGAATAAAGATTCGGACTGATTGTTGGAATTATCGAAATCTCCCGCAAAGGATAAAGCTAAAAGATACTTTATATTCATGAAGGGTATTTTACAAAGAATGTTTACAACGCCCTCAAAGGGCCCTTGAACAAAAAAGAAAATGAAAATCTAATCTATTCTCGGGGTCGCATCCCCGGAAGCGTCATCTTCAAAAACTGCATCTTTAGCAGCTCTATCCTCGGGAGTCCCCTCTCCCTCGAGAGCATCTTCTTCACTTTCCCCGTCCCTGGAGCCACTCACTACGTCCTCATCATCGGAGGAGACAAGAAACCTGGCATCGGTTTCCCGCGCCTTTGCCTCGGCTATCTCCTCAGCAAGATCGAATCCCCGGGCGTGAATCTCTTCGAGAGCCTCCCTCCGGGATCGACACCTAGCCAAATCATTGCTCCGCCTTCCCCGATCGGAGGCTTCCTTCAACTCAGCTTGAACGGTTACAACGTTCCTTAAGTACATGGCAATGGATTTATCAGTCGAAGCACTCGTCTTCTCAGCTTCAGCCTTAGCTTGAACAGCTTCAGCCTTGGCCTGTATAGTTTCGGCCTGGGTTCTAGCGAGCTCAGCCTCCAACTCCTCGATCTTCTTGGCCTGAGCCAGACCTTTTGCTTTAATGCTCCGGAGTTGGGTTTCAGCCGAGGACAGTTGGGCCGTAACAGCTTCTTTATCGGCAGCAAGTTGATCTATGTTTTTCTTCCACTGATGACAATCAGCTTTAACTTGATCAACCTTGCTCTGAAGCTGCCCAATCATCTCTAGCTTTTGCTGCAGCTGAGATATCGAAGTGTTAGCCTCCGAAGTAGGGCCAAGAAGGCCGTACTTTGTTAAAATCAAAGTTACCTGCACATCTAGCTCGTACTCGCTTTTTTGAGCTTTGGCCAATGCGGTTCAAAGATCCTTAAGCTCCTCTCCCTTTTGGCTACAAATGAACCTTAGAGCCTTTTCTTCCCCGGAAACTTTCTTGAGCTCGGCCTCATATTGGCTCAGCTCAGCTCTGAACTTAACGATGGCCTGTACGCGGAATGGAGATATATCGGTCAATAGCAAAGAAAGAAAAAAGAAAGTTGCAATAATAAATTAAGTACTCACCCGGGAGAGGAGATGTTGAGCCTCTTCAAAGATGGCGGATGCATCGTTAAGGTCATTGGCATCCTCAATCCCAGCATAGCAACCTTGAAAGGGATCCTCCTCGAGGACCTTGCTTGGATCGGGCGTATGCAGAGCGTTGGCTTCCTTGATTGCCCCCTCGGAATAAGTTGGCAAAGAAAGGTAGTGACCTGTTGTCGCGGCCCCAAGCTCTTCACTTGGGTCGTTCTCAATAACTTCGGGGGTCTCAACATTTGCCCCCTCCGGTATAGTTGTCGAAGACGGAGGGACAATCACGACCTCCGGGGACACGGGGGCCTCGCCCGTATCTTTTTTCAGAGTCCCCTCGCCACCAGACGAGGTCTCTAGGACGAAGGGCTTGGTGGCCTCGATGGGTTTCCTGGCTCGAGGCACCAGGGCCGACTCTTCATCGTCATTTTCTTCATCATCCGAAGAAAAATGGGCAGAATCAGCGCCCGCTTGAGTAAATCTCTTCCGCAGCCTCCGAGTAGGGGTTTTCTTATCTTGAGGGTCTTCGGGCTTCGAAACCCTCTTCCTTTTATTGTCCTTCTCCGACTTCGGAATCGAAGGCTTGGTTTTCTCCCCGGGCGGGGCCGGCCTCATCGCAGATGCATCCTTAAGGCCTGCACAGATAAATATGAGTAAATTGACACCTCCAGTATATGAAAAGCATTTGAATCTCAGAAAAACACTTACCGTGGTTCTTGGCCTCCCACCGTCCCTTCGCTAATTCACGCCACTTGCGCTCATCGTAGGAAGGAGTGGCAGCTAACTTTCAGACCCAATCCTCGAGGTCCGGCACCGCGAGGGGTGCCCGGGCAGTGGCTGCCAAAAGAGGGGTAAATGTATTATGAGATGAAGAAGCAGAACATGAATAGATGCAGGGGAAAGGAATTCCACTTATGGTTAAAATTCCACTTCTCCGGGAATGGCATTTTGTCCCCAGGAATAACGTCCAAAGTTCTTACTCTGACGAACCGACTCATCCAACCCCGATCTTTGGTCTCGTCAGTGCTGGCGAAACTGGCTTTCGTTGTTCGACGTTGCAACTTGATGAGACCTCGAAATAGCTGGGGCTGATACAGTCGGATAAGGTGACTAAGGGTGAATTCTAGCCACTCGGCCTTTTCAGTAAAGAAGCGCAACATGATCACGATGCGCCAAAAAGAGGGGTGAATCTGATCGAGAGTGACTTCGTACGTTTTGCAGAAGTCGATCACCACCTGATCAAGGGGACCCAGTGTGAAAGGATAAGTGTAAACACTTAAAAACCCCTCCACGTGGGTAGTAATGCTTTCCTCGAGTTTCGAGATCTGGATCTCGACCTCATCTCCTCAGCCGCAGTCCTTCCTCACATCCTCGATAAGCTTCTTCGATATCAAGCTAATATATCGGGATGCGTGCTCGCATCGGCCTTTGACGTCGGGGAGATTCTCAATGCTAAAGTCCTTCTTAATTACGCAAGGACCGGGGGTAATATCCTCAAGGGTCGGCGGCACCACCGGTTTGGCTGACCCAGAAGTAGAAGAAGACGACGCTTTATCCTTTTTTGGGACTGTCTTGGAAGTCTTAGCCATGGTTGTGAGCTGAAGAATACGGGTTGCAGAGGAATGTGGCGTTTCTTACAAGAACTTGTTTTCCAACGCTTAAAGAGGCGGTGTCACACCTCCTTTTTCTACCCCCGAAAGGGTATAAGGGAGCTTTTTCCAATTTAAGTGACAATCGAAACTCGATTATTTATATTGAATTCAGAGTCGCCACTTGGGATAATTTATGGTGTCCCAAGTCACCAGTTTAAAATCCCGAATCGAGGAAGTTTGACTCTGTTTTACAGTTCGCGAAACACAGAAATCCGAGTAAAGAATTCTGTTAACCCGGAAGAAGGTGTTAGGCATTCCCGGGTTCCGTGGTTTTAGCACGGCCGCTTTAATCATACTTGGCTTAATTAAATTGTCTAATTACTTATTTTAGAACCTACGTACATTTACCTCTTTTAAATAAGAAATTATCCTAAAACGAGTCACGCGCACGTGTACCCATTTGTTTGGCGCGTCCAGAATCATGTCACGCGTACGTGTCCACAATTCCTAAATCTTTATTAATATTAAGAAAATTTAGCCGAAGTTGCGCGAACGCATACCCCAATTTTGTTTTTAAGATCGTAATTGTGTCATGCGAATGTGTACACAATCACGATGATATATTAAATCGCGTCTAAAGCAAACTACGATGTTTATAAGTGTTCATCTCCTATGTTTAAGGCTATTGAGAGGCAGGAATTATGGTCAAGAATCATTGGAGATGTAATGAATTATTTGTGCTATGCAAGTTAACCTGCAGAAGGAAGAGGAGTTTGTTGCATTATTCAATATTCTATTAGAAGAAAAGCCCAAAACTTTAGCCTAGTTTCAGTCGGCCCAAATGGCCCAAGCAGACCCAAACAAACACATAGGAAGAGAGAGCAAAATAAATAAATAAATACACAAATAAGCTAACAAAGTAGTCAGCTGCCTTCACGCTAACGCACATCAATACAGCACAAATTCATCCCTTACACATTTTCAACCATGCTTGAATAGACTATCAGAATAGATGCCTTGGTGTTTCAAGCTCGCATTCATAATTTCAGGAAGTTAGATATATGATTACGATCAAGGCAACAAGTTTTAATCGCAGCTTCAGAACTCAAATCACACAGATAATCTCATGGGAACAGATTTTTTTTTCTCAGAAAGAAAAAAAAACAATATGTAGCTCATGTTCCTCGAAACCACACTTGAATAGCAGTCTCTAAATCTCAAATAGACATCACGTGTCTAAGGAAGAAAGTTATAGAGTGAATCTGAACTAAACGAGATGAGAATAGTATACACTAATGCACGTTGAACACCATTTCTAGCTCCAGATAGTTCACCTGAAACCACACAATCGATTTTCATACTCATCTTGGCACTGCTATTCCAACCAACATGTTTAATCACTAACTAAATCAAATACTTCAGATAAGTTCTTATACACTCCAACTGATGCTAAAAGAAACAGAAAACTGGATATCAAATCCAGTACAGGGATGTAGCAGCCACAAATCCAAACAGCAGATGAACAGAATAGAGAGGAGGAAAAGAGAAACAGGATTTCATTGTAGTAACAAGAAATATTCATGGACGGACATATGCAGACTTCATTCGATTCATAGCACAGGGCTGTAGCAGCCACAAATCCAAACCAAATTCACATCTACTCGAACACACAGATGAAATTGAAGGAGAAATCAATAACTGACTAAAGCAAAATCAATAAACCCAATGGAATCTATTAACTTAAATCATAATAAATCAGATTAAATTGAGGAGAAAGAATGAACCTGTTAAAGAAAATTCTTTCACTATGCAAACATCGGCAAGTACACGAATCCAGCGAAAAAAATTTGAACCAGAACAACAACAAATCGTCAAAGGAATTCGAACCAGCGAAACTCGAACGACAAACGATGAACTCCCAAAACGCCTCAATCAAACTCCATTTTAAAAACCAAAATTTCGAAATTGAAACAGAAGAAACAGACTTTTTATTTTTATTTTTTCTGATATTGAAATAAAAGAAAAAAAAACTGAAGAGATTTGTATTTTTCAAGAAAATCGACTAGAAATTCAGAAGGAAAATCTTGAAACTCGACCTAACCCTAGAACTTTACCTCTAAAAATTTCTCTCCGAAAATCTGTCTCCAGAACCCCTTTCTTCTTTGAAAATTCCTCTACTTATTAGGCAAAAACCTGATGAATGAAGGGCTGGGATCAATTGAAATCAATCCCACGCTCCCCATTCATCCAGCATATGCCTTCTAGAGGCTTCCAACACGTGAGAAGAGAGGTGAGAATGAGAGAATCTATCAGAGACCGTTAGCATCTTGATGACGTGGTGAGATAAGGTCGTGTGCGAGTGAACTCGCCTGAGTTTGGCGAGTTTTGATGGGTTGAAACGCTGCAGGGATCGGATGGAGAAGGGCAGCACCGTTGGGTTCTTAGAGATTAGGTCTAGGGTTTTGTTTCTCTAGTATTAGGTTTATATTTGGGGAATGGAGCGGGTCGCCCAGGTTGGGCTGGGCGGGTTTAGTGTTATGGATTGGGCTAATGGTGGTTGGGGTGGGGACTTGGGCTTCAGAAATTTCCCTTGGCCCAATTTTGGGTTTATTCAATGTTTCCCCCCTTTTTGTTATTTGTTTTTTTTGTCCTTTTTCTTGATTTTAAACTAATAAATTAATTAAAATCCTGGACTAAAAATTAATTCGTAAAATTATATTTTTTCTTTACCTAGACATAAATAATTAACTTAAAGCTAATGCAAGGAAATTACTAATTTTGAAACTAAAATCTAAAATTGTAACAATAGCCAATGTTTTGATTTTTTATTTAATAATGCAATTAATTAACACTTAAACCTAAAAATTCAAATATCAACCTAAAAATGTAATGCATGAAATTTGAACATTTTTAAGATATTTCCCATGTTTTTTTTTAAATATTAAATATGCACCAAAATATAACTAAATGCCAACAATTACTATAAATTCCTAAAATAATAAACACTCAAAAGAAAAATCCATTTGTGACTTTTGTAGGAATATTATTATTCGGGCAAAAATCACGTGCTCACAGGCGGTGGGAATAGGCGATTAGGGAAAGAGATGAAGACAGGGAAAATATAAGGAAAAGGTAAAGTTCTTCGCTAAGAGGAATCGCCTCATATTTATAGAGGGGTAACGACGGTTCGGCGGCGCTAGTGGCCGACCAATACTGGCGTGCATTCAATGTTTTGGGGAAGTGGACCGACGGAACGTTTCGGTCACTTCGAACGCATACGTCACAGAAATGACGTCATCATTAAAGGCTTCGGGGAACGGGGATCAAAAACGTTTCTTATCATCTTACTCTAAGAAACGCGGGGACTATCTGTATACGGTCGAGATCGAATGCCTTCGATCTATACACTCTGGAGGTCGTCCGAAGTTCGAGTCCGGGTCAGGCCAGGTTCGAGCTCGAGGGACCAGACCCGAGTTCGAAGGCGAAGCACGATGCACACCAAGGTCGGGTGTGTTCGACCCCGAAATAGTACCTTTATAGATTTCTACTAAAGCAAGCTAGATTCCTGCCACGTTCCCTAAAGTCATGATGTAAACCACGGGATAGGATCGTACAATTCCGTACTAGACGGTTAGACAGCTGTACCGAGAATATTCCCTACTGTAAATGAAAATATTCCTTATTTAGGGTTCCCCCATTATATTAAGGGGATCCCAATCATTTGTAAGACCATCTTTTACTGTGAAGAGAATATACTCTCTACTTTTTGCCTGTTGTTCACCAGAATTGTTCCTTAGCTTACATTGTTCTTATTTTCTTTTACTTAATCGTTCTTACTGCCCTAAGCCACCTCGAGGCCACCTTTTCGTGGTCATTGCTGTTGACTAATATTGGTTTGATTCACTTCTATCATTCGTTTCTATTTCATATAACTTGTTCATTAATTGGTATTGAAGTAAATTCACATATCTTTAAAACCACAATTCCAAGTTTAATTGTTACTCGTATTTTCGAGGTAAACAAAGAAATTTTTATAATTTCTACATTTATAACTCGTCATCTTCGATTCTGTTTGTAAATAATACGAAATTCGCCCTCTCTCTTTCCAAAAATTTGCAAATTGTAGAAGTTTCACTGGTCACTTTAAAAAATTGAAACATTTTGGTCAGCAAGAAACAGACCTGAAAACTCTGGAAGGTAACGGGTGAGTAAAAATTAGTGGATAAGTAATTGTTTAAGTAATTTTGCCGTTGAAAATACCTGTCCCAAGGGATGGCCAAACGAGATCACAGTTCATGATATCTTAGTGTAACAAGTTTGAGTTCTAATAATACCATGGATACTATCAGATAGGTGTTCCTACTCACCATTAACTACGTGAAAACGAAAAAAGGTTGTGAAAATGTGAAGAGAGATTTTTTTTTTTTAATGATAATTTAAAAAAAGAATTAATATATATATATATATATATATATATATATATCGCTTATAATTAATAATTAATTTGTGTATACCAACTGTAAATGTAAACATTCTGACCGACTATTATGTAAAGATGACAAAAAAAGGGATTTTTTACACGAACGGTCTCTTTTTAAAAGTTATTATCATACCTATTAATATTTTTTGTTTATTCCAAATATTGCATATTTTATTATATAGATTGCATTATGGAAAAACGTTGCAATCCCTTAATTACCGCTATAATTGGAATCCCATTTAAAAGCCAAAATACCAGTACCCAATGTTGAAGGAAGCGTTTCCATCTTCACTAAATACTGAAAATCTCAAAGAATTTTTCCTTGATTCGCTAGTTTATGCCATTTTCTTCTAAAAAGATTATTGCATTATTTTCGAAGATGCTTTTGTTCTTCAATGACACTATAAAGAAGAACTAACAAGAGATGATAAAATATAAGAGTGATATACTTTATAATAGCATTGCGATTTATACACAACTAATATCATCATTGTACAATATATACTAATATACTAGAATATTATTGTACTTTATATACTATTAAATATTATCGCCATACTGTGTATATATACAATATACATAATTATATATTATTGTAATATTGTCGATATATGCATTTCACGTTATTATCCACTATTATTAACATCAATATACAATCAATATATACATATGGCTGAAAAATGTACGATAAAATATGTTGGCCCAAGTAAAGGTTAGTTTTGAAGACTGGCAAACGAACTCAGACATGAACCAGGTCCATCCCAGTGGAGCACAGAAGTGGATAGACTTGTGCATGTGGGATGCACGTGAAGGAGATAAACCTAACTGTATTGATTTGATATCTCTTGATCCTGATCGAAAATGTTGCATAATTGATAAGGAGAAGGACTCCTTACTCAAAGAAAACACAGTTTAAGAAAGGGAGGGAGTTAGAGGTTGAGATCAACTAGAACTCTTCCACCAAGGAAGAGTAGCATCAGAATTCTAGTCAATCTCTATTTACTAACTCTATAAATATTAGTGTTGTTCTCTTTTACAGGTAACACACATAAGCAGAAGTTAAACGTGAATTGAGAGCAAAATAGCAAGGCAATTTTGCAAGCAGTTCGTGTGTGATTCAAGTGTGCAAACCTAAAGCAACATGAACCAGATAGAAGAACCAGTTCCAAGTGTCTATCTTTTAATCTAGTTCAATTGTAGTAGGTGGTTTTATATTGTACCTTTCATCTTTATCTTATCTAAAGGCAATTGTAATAGGTACTCAGAGTCTTCAAGTTAGAGTTAACTTGAAGTTGTCGCAACAGTTAGAGGCTGTGTGCTACAACGGGATTAGAGTTAATCCTAGGTTTACAAAAGAGTTTTTTTAAATGCAGTTTTTGGCTCAGTAATTTTAGTGGAGAGTTTGGAAAAATGCTACTGGAAAGTAGGTCGTGGTTTTTTCACCTTTTGAGCCAGGTGTTTTCCACGTAAAATACTTGTGTTCTTTACTTTTCGCATTTACTATTTCTGCAATAGTAGGTTAAGGAATACGTAGAAGAACCATGTCCTTCCATAATCAGTTTAAGCGAAAATTTGGTCACCACACAAATCACCCCCCTCTTGTGTGGTATTGAAGTATAAAATATCAATTGGTATCAGAGCGGGTTATCCTTGAGGCTAACACCTTAGGCACAAATCAAGATGAGTTCACCGCCTGGAAAATGGGAAGGGCAATCCACTGCTAGGCCTCCACTCTTTAATGGCCAGTACTACTCCTGGTGGAAAAACAGGATGAGAGATCACATCATCGGAGAAGACTATGAGCTATGGGATATTATCACTAATGGTCCCCTGGCTACCATGAAGAAGAATGCTCAAGGAGTAGACGTGCCAAAAATAAGAGCTGACTACAATGATGAGGACTTGAGGAAGAGGGAAAAGAATGCTAAGGCCAAGAAATAGCTTGTGTGTGGACTTGGTCCAGACGAGTACAGTAGAATTCAAAGTTGTACCACTACTAAGGAAATCTGGGACACTCTGCAAGTGGCTCACGAAGGAACTCCTGAAGTGAAAAGATCAAGAGGAACACTGCTGTATTCTCAATATGAGAATTTCACCATGAAGGAAGGAGAAACCATTCAAGAGATGTATACAAGGTTCACCACACTAACAAATGAACTTAAGTCTCNATTTTTGTTTTGTTTATGATTGAAGAGAGAATGGGTGACTTGTTTCTACGTGAAGCACACAGTGTGTTGCAAACCAATCTGCCTGATTGCACGAGTTGATTTGGTTAGATACTGTGAAGGTTTTTTTATTTTTCATGTGCTAATGTTCATGCGATTTTCATTAATTTGAGCGACGGGTTTCGAATTGCATAAATTTTTTAGGCCCATCAAAAACGACCTAATGAATAATAGGATGACACTTTGTAGATCTGTTCAAGTTTTTTTAGTAAAATGAACTCACTTGCTTAAGTGTGTTGGATAATGATCCCCTCCTTTGGCACGAGAGACTTGGACATGCAAGTCTAAGTCAACTCAACAAATTAGTCTCCAAGGACCTGGTGGTAGTGCTGCCTAACATCAAGTTTAAAGAAGACAAAGTTTGTGAGGCTTGTGCAAGGGGGAAGCAGGTAAGATCTTCTTTTAAATGCAAGAAAGTGGTAAGCACGACCAGATCGATGGAACTGGTCCATATGGATCTCTGTGGTCCAATGAGAACATTAAGTAGATGTGGTAAAAGATATGTGATGGTGCTTGTTGATGATTACTCTAGGTTTACTTGGACATTATTTTTAACATCTAAAGATGAAGCATTTGACATGTTCACTTCTTTTGT